GAGAGAAAAGAAGTTATCTGAGAAGAATGTCCACGCTTCACCCTTTGGTAAAACAATGAAAAACCACCAGCACTCATTATTTTTCCATAGCTTGGGCCCCTCCGTTATGAAGCATTTGGAAATACACTGGGCTGCAAAGGCGAGGTCCGCGGCAGAAAGACCTGGCTGTCTACCTGTCTCGGAAAACCACATGGGCAGTTCCACGCTGTCCTATAGGGTCGCCACGAGTTGGCATCGACTGGATGGCGAGTTTGGGTCTTTCTCAGGCGCAACCCTGAAGTCGCAAAGGGCTTCAACTGGATAATTATGTAATTATTACCTAGAGCAAGAGATAAAAGGGAGGCGGGCCATCGAGTCAGTGCTGGCTCAGAGTGACCCCCTGTGGGTTTCCCGGGCTCTAACAGTTTAAGGGAGGAGAAAGCCCAGTCTTTCCCCGGTGGAGCTGCTGGTGGTTTTGAACCGCCGACCCTGCGGATCACAGCCCAACACTTAACCACTCCACCACCGGGGCTCCGCGGCACTTGCAGAAAACCACTCCAAGGAGATAAGCCCAATCTTGGCCTCACTGCTGTCCGGAGAAAGCAAATCCTTCGCCGGAAAGCGCTGAGGCGCGATGATCAGGCCGGGTCTGTGCGATTCCTGCTACTCTCCGGCGGTGGGCAGCGGTCAGCCTGCGCGCCGGGGAGGGGCACTACCTGGCAGGCGGAGCCGGCGGGGGCGGTTCGGCGGCGCGGCCCGGCGCCCTCCCAGGACGTGGGCTGCGCGGCTGCAGGCGACAGCGGGGTGAGTCGCAGGGGTCAGGCCCAAGGCCAAAGCGCACAGGGCCCGGCGGGGCAGCCTCACGAGGCGGGGCCCCAGGCGAGTTAGGCTCCGAAGGCATTCCATGGCACTGGCTCGAGGAGGCGGCGGCCGGAGCCCAAGCCTTCATTCCGGACGGTGGCGTCGGGGCCCGAACCGTGCGACCCCGGGCGAGAGCCCGAGCTGCGGCCTGACGGCTCCCGG